GTTGAGAAATCGAATTTTGAGTCTGGGGTACTATTCGATAGTCGCCAACACCCTTGAATTTGCAATTAAATGCAAATATTGACATAACGAGCAATGCAATTACCGTGAAACTAATACTGAAGTTAGCGCACCTAGTGTAAAACAAATGTGGAAAGGCGTAAACCAGGGAACTTTAAGGAATTAGAACAGTTTATGACTGAAGAGTGGGACAATATTCCAAATTCCGTCCTAATCAATTTAATAGATTCGATGAGGCATCGATGTAAATTAATTATAGAAAACAATGGTGATCGCATCCCATATTAAATAATAAATCAGTAATCAGCACCTTTCTGACTTTGAAATAAAGTTTATATCATATGATTTGGAGCAATGTGCGATGAGTTAGAAGGAAATTTGTTTGTGCCATTTTTTTTGAACACCACAGTAACTGAGGTAGAACTGTATTCCAAAATTTTTTTCTTTGTTGTGATACAATATCTTTTTTGTCATCATGCCCCCAAAATCGCGAAAACGACAAAACATTGAGGACGAAAGTAAGAGCGCGCCACGACAATCCAAACGCCTTGTCAGAGACGACTCGGTCCTCGCAGCAGCCGTCAGTACTAATCTTAGACTCAGTTCTGGTTCTGGTGATAGTTATGACTTAGGCAACCTCCCTTCTTCAGCCTCTGGGTTCAAGAACTTTCACATTGAGGTATTGAGAGCGAGAGTCAACCCAGCATCTGCTGAGAGCGATGTTATACCCACAGTTGAAGGTATGAGCCATTTGTATTGGTAGCCCTCTCAGCGAACATAATTTTCAGACACAATCATTCCAGAAGAGTATGTTCTCCCCGATATCACACGCGTAGTACTTGGAAATCCAGAGTTCAACATTGAAAATATTGACGGAATTACGAATAAGAAAGTTCGCACATTTTTTGCAAAGTTGCATGATGTCGTTGATTAATGGCATGCAGGTGGTGGGCACAGAAGACACATTCACTGATACGCTTGTGGACGATCTACTGCGCATTGTTGAGCTGAATGACTGGCCTTTAAGGGTCAGGTCAGTGTCTGGGTTTGTGTCCTGTTTTGACAAATAGACAAATATAATGCTTCTAAAGTTATGTTTTTTTTTTTTGTTTTTTTTTTTTTTTTTTAGCTGTCAATAAAGATCTTACATTAAAAAAAAAGTTATGTTTTTAAAATCCAGAAATCATCCCTTATGCAGATTATACATTGCAGATTCGCCCTGTGTATCATCAGATCCTGCATTTGTAGTAAAGAAAAGAAACATCTTTGTTGTGGTAGTCGAAGTATGTGGGTTGTGGCCGTTTGAACAAAGTTATTTTTGTCACCTCAAGTAACTTTCTTACAGGACAAACATTTGAAAAACGTCGGGCCAACCACTGGATTCGGAGAATCCCAGATCAGTGTGGAGATCCTCGCTTGTGCAAATGAGAATATACGTAATGAGGAATATCGATATTGGGATCAGACGTTATGGGCCATTCGTACAATTTCTCATTATGTTACGTTTTATAAGGCCGATATTTCTGCCGCGTATTGGAGAGAACTTGAAAATGGCGTGCCGCAAAATCAGTCTGTTGAGGTTCAAAGATGGCCGCGTAGGAATACTTTGTCGTCCGGTTTCAATCTCGCTCAACCGGCCGGAAGACGAGACGTGTTGAAAGCATTAGTCCAAATTCGTAAATCACTTTTGCAAGGAGAAGACGATGACGAATAGCTATCTGATAGTTTCGTTTGATGTTTGTTGCTGGTTTTACATTCATTAATATTAACACCTTTTATTCACTCTATTGCCCCCACCTAGGAGAGCTTTAGATAAAATGTGGAAAGGCAAAGGGTAATTAGTTCTTAATGAAGAAAAACTTAACAATGATGGTTGATAACAATTAATTGCTGTCTTTTTATGTAAAATAAGTATTTTCATGCACTTTGCATTTCTCAACAAGGTAAAATTACAATCTGTTGTAATGAATAAACAACATGTGAAAAATCATCAATTTGGTTTTTTTACAATGAAAACATGAAATAAAGAGCATAATCACAAACTAAAACTAATAAAAATTAACATATGGAGCAGACTGCAACAAACCCAGACAAAATGAATATTTGACCATGTGAGCTAAAATTGTAGTTGATATAACTTTTTTTGCTGAATGTTATCATACAATAACGATGTATTTTATATAGGACTATCACCATCAGAAGTATTTTACAAAAAAGCCCAAGGAGAAAAAATTTCTCCATACATTTATAAAATCAAACTCTCCAGGAATATCTAGACAAAGAAAAAATTACTTATGAAATTTATCAAGAACAAAAATAAAAATCAATAAACAAACATTAACAACTTATGGCAAAACAAAAATTAGAAGGAACATAAGGAAAGGAAACTTGATGTAAAAGTTTCCTCCAAGGCCTCCACTGATTGAGCAACCCATTACTATTAACAAAAGATCATTCCTTACAGTCTTTGACTTGTTGTTTGAGCACATTCATGAGCTTGATTCACATTTCACTACTACTACCTTGACACAATTGCAAATAATAATAAAGAGTCAAATAATATAACAATAATTTGATTTTGTAGACATAATTTTATTACAATACTAGAATTCAATGTCAGTAAATTTTGTCCTAATCTTAAAGCAGTGTACCTATCAAAGTATCTGCACCCCAGTATTTCATCACACTTTCCCTAATGCTTAATGCATATGCATCATTTGGTTCAATCTCCAATGCTCTGTTAAGACTAATCAATGCATTGTCATATAGTTTTAGATCCAGATAGACACCTCCCCTTCTACTCAGTGCATATGTGTTATTTGGTTCAATCTCCAATGCTCTGTTAAGATTAACCAATGCATTGTCATATTGTTTTAGATCCAGATAGATAGCTCCCCTATTACTCAGTGCATGTGTGTTATTTGGTTCAATCTCCAATGCTCTGTTAAGATTAATCAATGCACTGTCATATTGTTTTAGATCTAGATAGACAACTCCCCTATTCCTCAGTGCATGTGTGTTATTTGGTTCAATCTCCAATGCTCTGTTAAGATTAATCAATGCATTGTCATATTGTTTTAGATCCAGATAGACAGCTCCCCTATTACTCAGTGCATGTGTGTTATTTGGTTCAATCTCCAATGCTCTGTTAAGATTAAACAATGCATCATCATATTGTTTTAGACATTGATAGACAACTCCCCTATAACTCAGTGCATGTATGTTATTTGGTTCAATCTCCAATGCTCTGTTAAGATTAAACAATGCATCATCATATTGTTTTAGACATCGATAGACAACTCCCCTATTCCTCAGTGCATGTGTGTAATTTGGTTCAATTTCCAATGCTCTGTTAAAATTAATCAATGCATTATCATATTGTTTTAGACATCGATAGACAACTCCCCTATTACTCAGTGCATGTGTGTCATTTGGTTCGATCTCCAATGCTCTGTTAAAATTAATCAAAGCATTGTCATATTGTTTTAGATACAGATAGACAACTCCTCCATTTCTCAGTGCATGTGTGTTATTTGGTTCAATCTCCAATGCTCTGTTAAGATTAATCAATGCATTGTCATATTGTTTTAGATCCAGATAGACAACTCCCCTATGACTCAGTGCATATGTGTTATTTGGTTCAATCTCCAATGTTCTGTTAAGATCATTCAATCTATCACAATACATCAGTTGCTTGTAAACATATTCACAAGATGGCCGCTTACTAGGGTCTTCATTCCAACATTCTGAGTACAGATTAACATATTCTTTGGGCGTTCCAAAAAATGGTGTATCACGAGAACCCTCAAGCCTATACATAATAATATGAGCAATTTCAGTGCGCCCTTCACATGGCATTTGTCCACTAGAGATTTCCCACAGTACTACTCCAAGGCTGAAAATATCTGTTTTCTTCCCACGTTCATATGAATGGTTTATCAAAGATACCGGATCTTTATATGCTGGAGCGCCATAACCATGCGATTTGGACATTACTTGTTTCAGCACGCTTGATAAACCGAAATCAGTTATCTTCGCGACACCTGATTTGATTAGAATATTACTGGAAGACTAGTAAAAGTAAAATCATTGTAATCAGTTTGAAAATTAATGATACAGGCTCATACGATACAATCAACATTTGCGATAAATACCAAATCCTTGTGAATGATATCCAAGTCATGTAAATATCTCAATCCATTGGTAATTTCTAAGCCCAACTTGTACTTGTCTTTCCAAGTTAAATCTTTGAAGTGCTTCTCTAAGTGTTTACGCAAACTTCCACCGTCAGCCAGTTCGAAAATCATATGATAACTAGTGTGTTTGTCTGTTATACGGAAAGTAGATAATAATGAAAAAGAATCCCTGTATGAAATCAATGAACTATCACTTATGAACAAACCTTCGTATAGACCTAAAAAACGAATAACGTTAGGATGGTTGTTCGCTTCCTTGTGATGTTTTAGCTAGCGGATGACATTTATTAATTTAGACATAAACATGAATGCAACGTAACAGAAAATGATAGACAACCTCTTTGACAAATTGTCGGTGCCAATCCTCTTCACAACCCCCAGATTCATCTGAATGTAGGATTTTCACCGCAACAGTCATGCCAGAGAACTCATTGTCCCACTCGCCTAGCATCGTCTTGATAATAGTTTCGAAACTGCTTTCCGGCCTTACAGTCGCTTTGTAGACCACTCCAAATGATCCAGAACCAATATGTTTGAAATCTAATGTTATATCATTTTCTGGGCAGCAATAGATTGAACCATCTTGAATGCTTTCGTGTAGCCATTCTTTGTACGAATTATCAGATATTTGAGACATTGTTAAAGAAAGAACGGCGGCTCTTAGAGTAGCTCCTTATAAAGATGTAGCACAGCAACATTGCGCGTGTAACCAAACTACCATATCAGTAATTTTTACTTTATAGACGAGGCTTGTATATGGGTGCCTCATTAATATACGTCAATTTATCACTAAATATAATATTTGTTATTATAGTATTTGGGTGTTGACATCAAATTCTATTAGATATCATAATATGATTAATACGTGTGAATTGACCATCTTTAATTCTTTTAACGTTATGATAAGTCTATTCCTGGCTCTTCGCTGACTACCATCGGTAGACGGATCAATCGTTGTGGTATACTCGTGCGATTTATCATCTCCCATTATAATAGCAGCAATCTGTGAAGTACCTGGAAGCTTATAGTATCGTGAATCTGTTTCTCAAATCCATTCCTCAAGGCCCGCCAAAAATTAGCCAAAATTCTTGTTAAATTCTGAGATGGATTTCACTGCCTGTTTGCTGAAAGACTTGCACATATGAGTTAGTACTATGTATACAAAAAGTTAAAGCAGAGCTATACGCGTGGATTTTTTTGTCGATTGTGTATCAGTAGTAATATTGTGCACAGATATTCGCGCTTTGATTCTCTATGCTGTCTTTTGCGTTTTTCTATTTGATCTACTGTTATTTATGCTTCGCGTGCTGCATGCAGCCTCTCTTCTTAATTTACGTCGCTGTTCTGTTAAAGGTTTTATTATTAATGGTATCCATAATTCCTTGGCAAAATAAAAAAAATTTTATTGTATATAGAGTAAATTGTGAAGATAAGATGATAAGAAAAAGCAAAGTCATCTATATTTTGAGAAACTTACTCGTTGCTTATATTTTCTATGATGTAATCGCATATGCTCTTTTCCGTTACACAGTATGCAATAGCTTCTGATTATCGCGTATGGGTGGAGGTTTCTCGTTTGTTCAAAGCGTCTGGTTGTCTTTTAATATGTTATTTCAAGGTAAATGACGAGAGAAACCGTAAATGTGTTTCCTAAAAAATTTTGTACTGAAATAAGAAGGCTTCGGTTAAAGAAGATATTATCTTTGTGAAATAAGACAATATGAATTTATGGCATAGTATAAAGGATTCAACAATTAATGAACAGATAATACAGTCATCCCTCGTTTATAACCCCCACCCTCGATATATCCCAGCTTTGGGGCTGGTCCGATTTCCTCTATTATATCTCAGTATAAATTTCCCTCACTTGTATCCCAGCGATATATCCCATCCCCAAATTTTCACAGAGCCCAATTTCTCGAAATATATAATGATCATACTTCAGTTATATCCCCTCGGCAAATTTATAAGTCAATTGTGTTACATAAATATCTGCTATCTCTCTCTATATATAGTCAGTCTACCTCTTTTTGGTTAGTAGATTATGGTTTAATAAGCGCAAATGTGCCTACAGAAGAGGAAATTTTTGAAGAACTTCTGGTGGCTGAAGGTGTGTCGCAGCAGACACAAGTGCAAATAGAAGAAGACTCAAACGAAGAGGAATTTCTATACAAGTAGGAAGACAAGCTAAAAAATTTTTAGAACAAGGGAATCTACGACTGAAAACGATGAGATATATGCGTGATATAATTCGTCGTTTAGATGAGTCGTTAGAAAAGTTAAAGCGCCAAATGTTATTATTATTAACAAAGTATATTAACCAATAAAATTTCTTGTACTACTAAACTAAAAATGCCTATACTCAGTTACCTCCGTCCCAAAGTGGGGATATAAACGAGGGATGACTGTATAGACTTGTTCTTCATGCGTCAGTTTGTTATTGATTATAATCACGCTTCTATGAATTTGTAATAGAGCATTAGGAATAATGCATTCTATAATTTTTAATCTAATTAATTTTACAAACCTTCATTTTCTAATCGATAGACATACCCAATTATAAGAACAATGGTTTGCTTTCTATTGCCTATGAACTGCAAAAAGGTTAGTTGCATTGAGTATAATCTGACATATTCGAGCGAAAACTGTCCAATTGAACATGACGTGAAATTATTCTATTCGAATGACGCATGCAGAGTAGCGAGAATAATAGAGGTAAAAGTGATTATCAGCAATCTCTATTACTATGTAGTAGTTATCATACTGTGTATTAATTTATTGTGCGCGCCTTAAGCCATGTGGAATATCTTCTGAAGTTGTCGTTTTTGTTATTGTATTTGTGTGTCGGAAGTGAGCAAACTCCCTCACAGACGTCGCTGTACATATTTCATGGCTTCCAAGTAATGAAAACACCATATCGTTTCCAGGTTTGAACTGTCATTAATTTCTGAATAAGGAATCCATGTTTTCGTTTACATCCACTTTTTAATAAGTATTAGTATTGGATCAAACTGTCAACTGCTGCATGCGTTTCTGAAACCAATGAAATAAAACACGTCCTACTATACTGTTCTTTTTCGCTTTCAAATGAATGTAAGTTTGTGTAAATTTATTATGTGGATCAATATGTTAAATAACTTTAGATTTTTAGATCGCAACAATATGATAAACGATATACATATTGGACATTAATTATCTTTGGCTACTTCAATAATTTCGATTGCCGTAAAACCGGGGTGGCTCTCCATATAATCAACAAATATTTTGAGACGTTCGGGATCCATTACCATCAAACTATCACGGCCATCCTCGGCCTCTTCAGCGCTGAACTAGTACGAATGTAAATACGGTATCCTTACCAGCCTGTTTACAATTTTGCTAACTTAGGCAATTTTTATTTGACAGTATAGTTTATAAAAGTTTATTTCTGTTTATTCACTATAATCATTTTGAGCGTAACTCGTGATGAGCTGCTGTCAATACTTATTCCTTCGGGTCAATAATTATTTAAACTCAATAAACATGACTCGGCCTGATTCTTGGACATATATGACAAGGGGAGATGTTTACTGATATTTTCTGATGCCAAGTTCCACAAAATTTTATGCTTTTCCCCGTGTTGATACAGATCACATTTTGGGCTGAAGTATGTACGCGGCCATTATCTTTCTGATATAATATTCAGGTGCTTTTTTATCTTGATGATGGCCAATCTGCGTTGGTTTTTGCAAATGTTAAATTTCCAGTACCTTAGTAGACACTTCTTAAAACCAGGCAAATAAACGTTAGATCACGCCTTTATAAACTCACCTATCCTTTCATATAATAATAATTCATAAATGTTCCTATGTCAAGGTCGTCCTTGTTATTATGAGACCGAAATAATTCCGCAGCCGAAAGAATTGGTCTATTACTATATTTGGCTGCGTCACTCCACATATGGATATGCACGGCTACACAAAAAATTTCGCCCTGAGAGGGGCTCGAACCCTCGACTTTAAGGTTAAAAGCCTCACGCTCTACCGACTGAGCTATCAGGGCTGAAAGCATTTATTACTCTTCTTGAAACTTTATTAACAAAATGTCTGCCAAAGATCGAATCGTCAAAAATTGACCTTCCAATACTAAGGTATTTTTACCTGTTTCCAACATGTCCAAAAAACCCGATTAGATCAATGATACATATACTATTGATCATTAAATGGACATTCAGAAACCGAGCTTGAAATATCTAGTCGTTGAATAATATCTTTTTTATGCATCTTCTTATGTTTAATTTGAATGAAGAAAAAAGTAACATATATCTTGTGACAAAATGAGTCAGGAGGAAGAAAGGAAGATTGTGATATGACACCATGAATTTCCCACAACTGTCCATCAAAATAATATGAATTCATGGAGAAAAAACCAGTAAATCGAAAACCCCAGAGGTGGGAGGAGAATCGAGTAATAGCCTTTCTCTTTTTGTCATATCGTATGGCATAGAATACAAACTTTTCCAGAATATTTTGTTTTTGCTTTTATCCGGGGAGGATATAATGAGGATGAAACAAAAAAAGTGGAATTTTTAAAATTAAAACATGCTTACAATCCTGGTCCAAATTGTCGAGGAAATAAGGAAACAAACGCTATTAATGCTGTTTTCACTGGTTTTACATGCGATTGATGAATACACAACAAATTATTCGACACTTTGAGAATCAGGAGATAAAAGAGGAGGAAGGGAAGAGAAAGCAGAACCAAAAGAAGAACAATTAGTGGCAGAAAAAAAAAAGTTTGATACATAAAATATTTGGAGAATAAAAAATCAAAATAAATCACACACAATATTACATTTCACTAAAATCATCACTCATCTAAATCACGAATTGCAACATGTTGTGTCGGTTGTCTGTTGAGATTCTTCTGGTGATCCGACATATACTGAATTTGTATGTAATGATTGCCGACATTCTCGGTTGTTTCTACGATCAACTAGAGCTCTTGTGATTTGAAGAAAAAGCTCTTCGATCCCTAAAGGCAATTGAATCATTGTATAACGGTACGCGTTTCAGTTTTTATGTGGCAGACTTGGTTAAATTGATACGTATACCGATTTGATACAAATTTGGTCAGTCATTATAAAAACGTACCTTTATCATCTTTAGCTGATACTTCATGTACAGCATAGTCATTTCCTAGTATGCGTGAGATGTACTCTTGTGTGCGCTTGAGTGGTATGACTCGATGAGTTGACGCAAGATCGAGTTTGTTGCCTACGACATGTATTACTGAATGAATACAGTATGTTTTAAACGTAAAATAAGTATACATTATGTATTCGTTTTAATTGTAGTTGACGAGTAGATATTGCTGATAAACACACTTAGGTCATCTTTCATGTTTTTACGTAATTCTGTGTTTAAAGAAAGTTTAAATTTAGTTTAACGTATTGTCTTGATGACGATTCGCACGATTCTTCACGCGTGCTTAAAAAATGATATACTAAAACAGAGTTTATAATGACCTGATCACTTGCCTTCAATCCATGAATTCATCTCCAAGAAGCTCTCTTCTGATGTGATGTCATATACTAGAATTGCAGCATTTGCCTAATCAGTTAAACACATAATGAGTATGAATTGTATGTAGAATAGTTCAGAATTGGGATGATTTGGTTTTGCTGTTATTATTACTATTATTTTTGTAGCTTCTAGCTAATCCATCGTAATTACTCTATACATACTCCTCTGTAATATATTGGTGCCTAAAATTGAAGCGTACGATTAACAACACATGAAAACGATCTGAAAAATCAGGATATGCGTCACAATGTAGTTTTCGTTTATTCTTACCATTGATCTAAATCTCTCTTGACCTGCCGTATCCCATATTTGCAGTCTCACTCTACAGTTATCTACAACGCTGATTAGTGCAAACTTGGTTAGTCTAAAACTTTCTGACCCGCCGATTCGCTTTTTTTTTTTTCTATAAAAATAAAGAGAACTGCAAAAAAAAGGAGCAATGGCAACCGACTTAACTGTCTACTCCCTATTCACACTTACAAAGAGAAAATAACTACTTTGTGTATAAAACAGAAAAGATAATAGAAGTGAATAAAAAGTGGGCGATCAATCAAGTGGACAATATTAAAATCTTTTTGTTGTCCGTTTGTGTGATCATAAAATTGTTGTACAAAGGGGTCGCACGCGATTTAACTCTTTTACGTAAATCCCAAGACAAATGATCTGTCATATGATTTACATACACAATGAAGGGAGAAAAAAAATTGAGACAAAATGACAAAGAACGAAAAGAAAGAAAAAGAGAAAAAAAGCACGCAACAAACGCGGAATTGATAAGAAGGAGAGGAGGAGCAGTTTTACACACGCAAAAGAATAGAGGGCGAATAGTCTGTGACGATAAATACTATTGACATATACAACAACTTACAGTCTCTTTGTCATGAAAGAAGCTCCAATGGTTGATGCTGCGTTGAGTGAAAACGTTTTGGTGACATACCGGACTACAAGAGACGTTTTTCCGACACCTAACCAATAAGTCAAGTATTAGAGAGAGAGAGAAAGAGGAAAGAAAAGTATATACGGCAGTACAAATAGATATCGTGCCTTGACTGCCCAAGATTACAACTTTTGCTTCTAGCGACATTTTAAAATGAGAAATGGCGATGGTGTTGTTGTCAATGCAGTTTCTTCCTTTGTATTGTTTGTTTCCTTGATATTGCTTGTTTCTGTGGTCAGCGATTATGTCGTTGGTGTTGGCGTTGGTGGAGTGATGTGTGTGTGCGCTAGTAGTTGTATGTTGATGGGTATTGTCTCTGATACTGGTTGTGAGCTTCCGGTTGATATTCCGACTTTTCTTTATTTCTCCCCTTTTTCTATTGTTCTATTCAGCACGATAGTTAGAAATGCCGGTATTGAATGCTTTTGTTTATTGTCTTGTAATTCTAGTCTTTTTTTTTCTGGTCTATTATCTTATTATCGGGGTTTCCACTGCTTCTGTCTGCTACGTCTTTCGGTCGGTTCTTTTGTGTGCTGGTCAATCGCTTGATATGCCCCTTACACAATACGTCTTGTTGCGTCAGTGGGAAAGTGAAGATAATTGCGGGAGAGAGCGTTCTCATGGAATGAGTATCAGGATTCTTTGAGGGTGTATAAGGGGTGCATTTATGTTGGAGTGAGGTGTGTCAGATGAACCCTTAAAATGTCTAAAGCGCCAAAGAGAAGTAAATATGCATATTTTGCAATATTAGAGTTGTTAGCCCCCTTTCCATCATTTAATGTTAATATATTTTTTAATTTACCATTTACGAAGAAGCGATCGCCAAAACAAATAAAACAACTAGACTGTAGTCATTTGCTTTCTTTCTCTACTGCTACTATTACCACCACTACCACCATTACTACTACCACCGCTACCACCATTACCATTACCACTCTTACTCTGTACACTGCCAAGGCATTCTCCGTGTTGCTTGTACCGACACTGACTGACTTAATTGGGAATGAATTAATATCAACTAGCCCTCGCCACCTTTTTTTTTTTTTTCCCTTTGAAAAGCTCTTTTTTCGAAAACGTTTATTTGATCTGTACGCCCAATTATACTCTTTATGCCAAAGCAAGCATTGTTGTCACAAGGGTTGTGTGAATGGACGGACCTTGATTACCTGTAAAATGAGTCAAGATTGTGCGAGGTGCAATAACCATAAACGTAAAGGCGTGAGGTTCAGTCATACAAAAATTATATATATATATCCATAGAGTAACCTATCCTTTAATTGACAATAATAATTTTAATATTAATCCCCGCAGCATAGTTTACGTAATTCACTGGTTCGTGCATGCTATGGAAAAAAGGAAAGAGAGAATGTGAAAATGGGTTATCGTATTGTGAGGACAGCACATGGCATGACTACAAGCATTAATACTAAACAGTGATAGAACTAATACCATTACAATACTCATATTCCCTCGTTTTTATTTCTCTTGTTGGTCATATTTACTTCCACGTGATCAACTCAGATACACTTGTATTCCGCGTGGGAAACAGTGTCCCAACTATACTAACTATACTGTAACAATCATATATAGTCTGTACTGCCCACCATAAACATTTATGACATCATTTGTGATAATCAAATGATAATGAATTCCTCGAATATGTGGTGGTCGTGAATTTATTTGAAAAAAAATATGTGACCATAATGAAAAAGAAGCATTTAAGCTCGTATCTATTTTTACATTAATATATTAATTAATATTTATCGTACATTCTTAACCATTGAAATTATTCTAACTGCGCCACCCCTTCTCTGGCCAATCGCACAACAGAACTCGACCAACTTGCTAATACTAACTCTTTCTCTGGTACACACACAAAGGGCAAAACCCTCCCATCCCACTTCCACACTCCGTTCTCCCTCCATATTAAGTGCGATAGTACCTGAATTACAGAATTTGAGGGGTCATATCGATATCATCGAAAGGGGAACATTATTATAAATACTCGTCGCATATAAAAAAACCAAGTGGAAAAAGAAAGAAAGGATAAAAACACAAGTTTCGACGCATTTAATATACATGTAATATACGTACGCAATACTCAGAATATAAGAAAAGAGGTCAGAGTATTAGAGTGTAATATAACAGATAGAATACCAGAAACATGGCTTTCCTATTCAAGTCAAGACACAAAACGCCTCATGATATAGTGAAACTGGTCAAAGATGCCATTGCAAAATTGGATGGAGTAGAAAAGAAAAAGGTGCGTAGAGAATGACAACAATGCTAGCATAATTGAGAAACGAACCCCGCTAAGGCTAGAAAGAGACATGTGACAATACGAGACATTGTCCAAAATATACGAGTTGACGATGGATGCTATTGATGCTATTGATGCTATTGATGCTATTCATGGAATCCAGCCCAATCTAATACATTCATAATCCCCATGTTGGTTTTTTTCCTAGGCGAATGAAGACATATCTAAAAACCTAGCGACAATGAAGGCTATTCTTTATGGAGAAGGAGGTAAGGCTGTGTGCTTGTCGTCAGTGAAGACAAGATTCAACGATTTAAGTTAAGGGGCTCGGAATGGGGGGGGACCAACTCTCATTCTCCTCTTACCGTCGTTCTAATCGCTCGCTCTATTCTCAGAAAATGATCCTGTTCCAGAAACGGTTGCTCAGTTGGCCCAAGAAGTATATAACAATGATTTATTACAATTGCTGGTCTTAAACATCTGGAGATTCGAGTTTGAGGTATGGCTTACAAGTGCTTGGGGGTAACGGGCGACTTGGAGAGTGCGAGCGAGAGATGGGCTATGATAGTGATTGAGACAACTAATAGATGTTAGCTATTTCGAATATATCTGCTAGACAAGTATTCGCATACTATGAATTGTTGCAAATATTAGAAATAATTTTTGCAATTGTTTCCGACAGGCAAAGAAAGATGTGTCTCAAATATCCAACAACCTTTTACGTCGTCAAGTTGGATCCCTAACACCAACAGTAGATTATCTCAACAACCGACCGGAAATTTTATTCACACTGTTAAAAGGGTTAGTGAAAACAACTATGTCGTTGGTGAGGTTAATACAATTCACTAAAAATTATATTTATCAATGCAGATACGAAAACCAAGAGACAGCATTAATCTGCGGTCTGATCCTAAAAGAATGTCTTCGACATGAATCGCTGTCAAAGATCATTATGTATTCTCAACAGTTTTATAATTTCTTCGAGTATGTGGAAGTCAGCAATTTTGATATTGCAACAGATGCATTTGCCAATTTCAAGGTAAGCATTCTGGATTTGGGATGGGATGTTTTGCATACCGTGTTTTTATAAAAAGACTGTTCGGTCTGTTTAATACTTGTTGCTATATCAATTAGGAGTTAATGACAAAACACAAGACACTAGTTACGGAATTCTTAGAGAATAATTACGAAAAGGTATTATATGGGATACTTGTGGGCTTGCTTCTTTCCATGAGGGGTTTTCGATTGTTTACTAACCCAATTTAACAGTTTTTCGAGCATTACAAGAAATGGCTGATATCGAATAACTATGTAACAAAGCGTCAATCGCTCAAGGTAAGTTTAACAGAGTACATGGTTTATGCCATATAAAATTGTTTGAACCAATAATTTATTTAATTTTTTTGTATCAAGTTACTCGGAGAAATTTTATTAGATCGTAGTAATTTCAACGTAATGACACGTTACATTGCTGACCCTGAAAATCTCAAGTTGATGATGAATCTTCTCAAGGAACCGAGCCGCAATATTCAATTTGAAGCGTTTCATGTCTTTAAGGTTGAGTAGCAGTTACACGTCTATATTGTGATGGTCTTTGACTTATTTAAACGGCCGTATTACTGATTCGAGAATATTTACTCCGTATGTTTTGCCTTTTATGTGTTTTGCATCATTTTACAGATATTTGTTGCTAATCCGCATAAGAATAAACCAATTACGGACATTCTACAGAAGAACAAAGACAGGCTAATTCCATTTTTGAGTAATTTCCACAATGACCGAAATGGTATGGCACATCTTTCATGTCTCTGACAATCTCGTTGTACACACTTACATATATATAAAACGCAAGCGCTTACACGTGTTTATTTCATCTCTTTCGAATAATCCCTTCTTTACGCAAGATGATGAACAATTCCATGACGAAAAGGAGTTCCTGTTAAAACAAATTAAAGAGCTGAAATGTTAATATCTAATGATGCTTGTGTTGGAGATGTTGTAATGGTGAGAAGAATGCATGCAGTCATATGGTGGATATTGTGACCCCCATTCCATTCGATGGGCAAACCATAACAGAGTATTGCATGCAGAGGAAAAGAGAGGTGCTTGCGCATACTAATATAGCAGCGCATATTAATCCGTTAGAGAGGATCCGGTTGAAGATTAATGTTATTACTTTATAATGCTGTTTGATTTCTTTTCTTTTCTTTTCTTTTTATTCCCGCCTTCGATTACCGGTACATTCTCTATTGATCATAACCAACACGCTACATGTTTTTTCCCCTCGGTCACAAGTGTATGGAATTTTCATGTAATAAAAATGTAATCAATTTCAATTTGAACTTGTCACATGTAAAAAGTTGGATGACTAAAGTGGCTTTGTGCATTACGCATTGTGTATTGTGCATTGTGCATATAAGCGTAAACCCCTGTAATGCTCATTGTTTAATATCAGATCACGGTTATCTCTAACACCCTAGACGGTAACTTTATGTGCCCTGCCCAATAAATCTCTAACTTAAATGAAATGCAAGAGTTCACTAACACAGTTAAAGTCGTTACACTAAAACTGACTTGCGTATTGGTATATTTAGAGACGTTAATTATTTGATGTGTACAATTCGAAGAAAGCCTGGTCATTTACTATTGTTTTATACAGTTATGGAATAAAAAATAACAAAGAAATCCCCCCCGAATTTATTAACGTCAATAGCTATGGGATGGCGTAGTTATTATGTAAACCTTGCGACCAAGTTTCACCATGTTCGCGTCAATTAAGGGAATTCCTATTATTATTATTATATAAAAGAAAATTCTCAATTGCTAAATCGATGATCGCCGCTCAAGTATGGTTAGAATGTTATGTGCGTTAAATCACTACATCATTTATTACCCTTATTTTCCGAAAATACAATCAATGAACCTTTCTAAATTAGTTGATCAGTGACATCACTGGAACTAAAATAAGAAAAGATCTATCAGGTGATTACTTCATGTGACACTATATGATAAAATGGCTCTCTCCTTTCTACCGCCGCCTTTCTTTTACCCGTAATTCCGATAAACCTGCTCCTAACATATTTAGAATAAACCAAGATTTGTCGAATTCAACAAAGAGAATTAATTTTAGGGTCATACTTATTCGATGTCTTGCATATGGAATTCTACGCGTATATACTGTACTGCATGTATATTATAGTAGGACAGCTTAATAGTGTCAACCGCCGTTTACCGGCGTAGTCGCTTTTCTTTCAGGATGATTCCAAAATAATTACTATTACTATGTTAATAACAAAATCATGTAAACTTAAGACAAGGCCCGTTTTGTAAAATCGTTTCATCTGTATAGCGATAAAATATACAGCTACCACATTCTTAAATAGTTTAAACTGTACTCTCGGAAAGCTTGTTGCAATGCTGATTGATTTATGAAGCTCTATAGATGGAAAAATCATATTAATAAATAAAAATTTGTAATATTAACAATTTTGAACATCTAAGCCTTTCCGTGGCGCATGTTTTGTTGCTGGACGCTGTAATGCGTCCCGAACAAAAAGACAATCAGCAAAAGTAAAAATCACTAGTCTCCCAATCCTGCTGGTACTAAACTTTACCTCAATCAGACTTTTGGTCGAGAATCTGCTTGATTGGCAGTCGTTTTATTGTGTCACTTGTTTTAAATAATTAGCTATTCTTTAAACTTATGCATAAAAATATTTCGATATAATATATAAATATGAAACTCAGAGTCACGTGAAATAAAGCTCGGGGAGAAATAATCGCTTCATATTTTTTAATGTACCTACGAGAACAAAAAATGAAATTAAACTTTGAGTATTTCTATAAATATACGAGTTGCAATTCCAGGCTTTAGCTAAGACTACTGATTTTAGGACAAGCTATTGGAGAATTGAGATTTTCTAGACTAACTCTTATAATTCATTGCAATACAACAGATAGGTAAATTTCCTCTGGGATCACTCTGCAATGCTTTGATCCATTAGTGTTCTAAATTTGATTTTCAATTTATTCAAGGGGTTCAACAACCATGACGCGGGTATTTGTGGACCAATTTCCTTGTACTCAAGGGCGAGGAAGAGGCTGCAAAATTGTTTAGGAAGCTCCGAGTGATTTTGTAGATAAGTTTAATATGTGCAACCCTCTTTTTCTAATAACCAACAACTTCTAGGCTGTTGCTGCATGAAACATTTCGAGCTTTCTCTAGATTCAAACAAGACATGTTTTTAATAACCTAGCTGAATGGTAATGAACAGCTGCCAAGCTGATGTCTCAAAAAGGAAACGCGTACTAATATAGAATTTTTGTTGTTGGATTGGTTACCTTATTTGGAAAACATTAGAAGCCATCTAACAACAAATTGCAAGTAGTATAAAACAAATACCGCGATGGAAACAATTGATATAACCATTACTATGAAAAAATTTTTTCCTGGTAGAAATGTCAATCAAATTACCCAATCATTTACACTTTTTCCAGCCGAAACGAGTTACAAATTGGTCTATTGTGATATTCGCGGATCTGCTCGTCCGAATGTTGCTGTAATTTCTGTTCCTCACGTTTTCGGCGCTACAGTTAATATTAACAACAGTTCATGTGTACTGATCACAGAACAGCTAGAAAAAATACAATCATTTAACATAATAGCGAGTATAAAGAGCGCGCTTACTTTTATTTGTCACTAGTAATAGTAGTACAGGTATCGTATTTGTGGTATTTATTCTAGAAATGACATCTTCATCAAGAATACAAGTAACGTTTGCCTCGTTTGATACGATAAGATAAATATACTAGGTGATTGCTGTCTCCAATAAGTAAGCATTGATATAGACGTGTTATATGCAATAATCTGTTCAAAAATGGTCACTGTCAGATCGGAAAAACAAAGAAGCCGTTGTATTCCGAAAAGTCAATTTGGCGTTTCCCTACGAGCCACGCCTTTCCGATTCCGATTGGTGCTTGTTCAGTGGAAAAGGCGTGGGGAAATTGGTTGCGCATGTTTCCTCGAACCGATAATGTCTGGAAAATGAAAGATCGCACGGGATTGATTATCTCTCCGCCCCTGTTGACAACTGTCCGTTGCGAAACCATCCATGACAGCATTATATGCGTCTAAGCCGTGTTGATTTATCCAGTCGGGGTTTGGCGCGATTATAAGAACCGGCATTCTGTTGTTTCGTAAATGTAACTTGGTGTGTATTATCAGCGTGGAAATTGGAGTAGAAAAAGATTGACAGAAGGCAGTTGATGTCTCGTTGAAGGATTTTTGGGGTAGCAGTATGGTAATATACAATCCTATACCGTACTACTGTGTAATGGTAATTTTTTCTCCTCGCGAAACCAAAGTCGGCTGTATGTGCATCCTATGTTACACAGGAATTGTGAATGGGAGGGTCGACTGTATATTTGTCGAGAAAATTTTAAATAGAGAGCTTTTGTCCGACGTATCAATTAGTCCTTTCGAAAGATATAAAAGCAGCGTGAATTTCAGTTAGATTCATTGTCATTAGTCCTGTTACAATTACTTTCGATTCCTTTATTGCAAATATTTCTAATAAATCGGTAGCCTTTATACTCTGAAATACATTGTTAATAATTCAATCCCTGATAAATTATCGATATAGCATAAATTCGCTAATTGTTATATATCAAAGGATAATTGTCTGTCCCACAATTATCCGAGTGGCATATTTTACTATAATTTAATTGTTTACGGAAGCGTTTATTAATATTATTTATCCCGTCAATGCATTATTCATTGTTCACTCAAGTAATGACAATATACTTGTCTAAAACATTTCATAAGTTAATGTTAAACTGCTATTCAATGAGTTGACGAACTCATAAGAACAATGCACATCGAAGAAACACGGATAAGGACCGTTTTGTTAAACGCTCATCTTTATATAACATCATAAATAATATTGCGTATCTACTACCTGCTAACTTTCTACGATAATTCTAAAAAGGCGAGGAATGTGGCTAAATTTGGTAGGAAAATACTAGTAACAAATAAATATTTGATAGTATGCTAAATATTCGACATATTGGTTATAGATCATATAACGATCAATGAATCCTTCATACAGTCCCCCTCCCTAGATTGGCTATTCCCAACAAAGCTTAATTGTTGTGACAATCAGATTAAAAACAGTTTGGACATTAATCATAAACTTGTATAAAAACATTCTGCAGCTAATGTTTAGACTGCATTGACTATCATTTAATCTACTCAATGAGTCGACAAAGAATCGACTTATTGACTAACACTAAGACGCAGGTAAACCACGATCATACGTGGTCGGAGGTAAAATATTGTTCTAGTGACATTCGACGTGCTAAGTTGTAAATAAACTTTATTCAAAATTTTGAGTCACTAAAATATAATAAATGGACTACGTTAAAATCGTAAATTGACTTCATTTAGTATCAACATGTAAGCATTGTTGTTTTCATACCTGCAACCGAATCGTAGCTGTTTCTTGGTTTAGGCAAATCTCCAGTAGGTAATAGCGTACTAGAATATTTACTCTCCTTCTCAAGACGCG